CCCCCCGCCGGCCGCAGATCCCCCCCTTCCCGCCCGGGTCGTGCCCCCCCGCCGGCGACAACCCCCGCGCTCCTGGCGACCCTAAGGGGACAATCCCAGACTGGGGACCCCACTGTATCACCCCTTTGCAACGCCTTGCTGGTGATGGGGACCCCTCTGCGCCCCCCCTGCCAGCGCCCAGGGACACAGCTGAGTCACCCCTAGTCATGGGAAGGCCCCCCCGTGCCACCCAGGCTCTCCATGATGCCATCTCCAGTTGCTGCTGGAGACCCCTCTGTCCCACCACCCCTGCTCGGTTATGGGCAGGGACCTCTGACACCCCCCGGCTGCTGCTGGGGACCGTGCTGTACCCCCCTATTGCCACTGCCAACTAAGGACAGCCACCCGTCCGTGCCACCCCCCGTGCTGTGCCCCCCTGTTTCCACTATTATCTAAAACCAAAGACTTTCCCTTCATCAGCTCTGGGCCAGGGACCCCCTTGTCCCACCCCCAGGCTGGGGTCACTCTTACTGTGCAGGACACCCTGTCTGGGTCACCTCTGTGCCAGGGCCAGCAGGATTGAACCTCAGACCCTCCACAACAGGGTGGGGACACTCACAGGAGACCAACCCCCCAAAAAAACACCCACAGCAGGCACAGGGACAATAGCAGTGTCCCCACTCGCCCCACGGGGACGGCTGCCAGGGCCCCACTGTGCTGAATCCCGCCGTAAAAGGAGGCTCAGCCGCCCTGCGTGGCCCTGATCCAGGGAAGGGAGCACATCTCCCCGCATCCCAGAGCCAGGGTCCCCCACTGCCGGCCTCGCTCCTCGGGAGGCTGCTCCCGACCCAGCGGGGTCACAGGGCAGGGAGGGAGGCAGTGCCAGGGAGCAGCGAGCGCTGCTTCCCCACGAGCCACCCACGCAGCCAGGACGTGGAGGCACAGCCCCAAACACGTCCATTTACTGGGTAAATAAATCAGTGAGAGCGCTCGGTGTCACAGCACCCGCCCCGCGCAGAGCGGCAGGGCTGTGGCAGAGGGCAGAGGAAGGTGATTTCCACCCCCCTTGGGCAGGAGAAAGAGGCCATTAAAAACCAGAGCACTTGTTGGAGTGCTGCTATTTTGGGCCAGCGCAAGAGAGGGAAGGAACCGCGTGGTCCCCATGGTGGTGGGGAGCATCCTTGGGTCAGGAACACCGGGACGGGGATCCCGCAAGGAGCTGCCCCAGCAGGGAAGAACGGAGGTGAGGTTGAAGCTGTACTGGGAGCCGGGGAGGCCCCTAAGGGAGCCCCCCCTCCATGCAGCAGCAGGGACCAAGGGGGGTTGGGAGCTGGCAGAGCTCCCAGTGCTGGCTGAGCCATGGGATGCTGCGTGCTGGAGCCAGGCTGGGAGAAACATCCCCATGCAACAGGCATGTGCCCACAGCCCTGTGCTGTGGATCCAGCCTCTGAAACCTGTGATAAGGTGAGGGATCCACCCTTTGGGACAATTCCCACGCAACAGGCTCGTGCCTGCAGCCCCAGCACAGGGTGCAGGATGCAGACAAGCCCCTGCAGAGCCAGGCACAGAGGGAATCTAGGGCAGGAGGAGGAGCGGGGAGCAGGGGAGGGAAGCTGGCTCAGCCCGGGCACTTTGGCTGCTGCCGGGGCCGCAGGGTGGGAGCCTGGGGAACGCGGTCCCTTATTGAGAGCAAACACTGGCAGAGAGGGGGGGACGTGTCTCTCGCCAGGAAAGAGGCCCCAGGGTGGCAGGGAGCTGTGCCCACAGCCCCGGAACAGGAGGAACCGGCACAGGCTGGACAAGTTGTCCCACCCACAGCACGAGGAGCTTCCTGAATGCACACAGCAGGCGGGAAAAAAGCCAACACAACTTTATTCAATAAATAATTACAACATTAACAACAGGAAAGGTTTCAGGCTACAGGCTATAGCGGCTCAGCAGCTTCCTTGCTGGCTGGCTTCAGGCCCAGGTAGCACAGCATGCTCTGAAACTCCTGGCAGTCCAGAGCCTCCTCAGGGACAGCCGACAGGACCTGGGGACAGCAGCAGAAATAGTGTTTGGGTTGGTGTTGTTGCAGTCACAGCAAGAGTGAGCAATGAACCATAAATCTCACCTTTTTTATATTCTCCTGTATCTCCTCATGGGTTCTCAGCACTTTCTGGGTATGATGGAGCTTCTTCTCCAGCCCTCGGACCTGTGGTGGTGGGGGTTGCCTGTCAGGACTCTGCTCCAAACCTGAGCAGGCACCAGCTCAGAAGGGAGAGGTGACCCCTGCCCATGTCAGGAGTGCTGGAACCAGGTGACCTTTATGGTCCCTTCCAACCCAAACCGTTGATTCTATGACTGGAGCTGGGGCAGGCCATTGAGACTCCCCATACCTGCTCCAGGTACTTGTTAGTGAGCTGCATGTTCTCATTCTCTTTTTCCACCAGCAGCAGCCGCAGTTTATCCACCTGCAAAAGGAGCAAGCCCTGCTGAGACCCCTCAGGTGGGGGAAAGCTCTGGAGTGGGGGGGTGTGGGGAGCAAGGTCTGAAGGGGTGTCCTTGTCCGTGGTGGGGTGACATGAGGAGCCCTCAGTCCTGCAGCTCCCCAGCCTCGCCTCCCTCCACAGCGTGACCCGCTGCGGGATGCAGGCAGTGCCCACCTGCTGCTCCTTGTCCCTCATCTCCTCCCGCAGCATCTTGGCTTCTGTCTCTGCGTGCTGGAGCAAGTGCTTCAGCTCAGAGACTTCTGCCTTCAGCCTCTACAGGGGAAAAAGGGATGCTGAGAGGGGTCTGTGGCCAGCAGCCCCCTGGGGTGCTGCCCACCCATGCCCCCATCACACACCATGACTTCTCCACTCTTGTCAACGAGTTGCAACATCTTCTTTTCCTGCTGTTTCACCAGGTCCTGCAGCTTCTTCTCATTCTGACAGGGAGGAAGAAGCAGGGTCAGGCAGTACCCAGCCCTGGCCACCTCCAGCCCCCTGGCACACGTTTTCTCATGTTTGAGGAGGTCAGAGAAGCCAGGAGCACCCATGGGGCATCACCAGATTTCTCCATGTCCTAGATCAGCGCCCGTCCCAGTTCGGTGCTGCCCTGGGGTGAGCGCTGGCCCACTTCTGGTTCACCTCAAGCTTGGTCCTCAGCGCCGTGTTCAGCTTGGCAATGGTGGCAGCCTGGGTATGCACCTTCTCCTGGCTCTCAGCTGTCACTGTCTTCAGGTGGACCTGCAGGTCAGAGCTGCAAGAGGGCAGGGGTGGTGAGTGAGTGGGGATCACAGCCAACACAGCACCAGCTACCAAACCCCCTCCTGGGCATGCCCCTGGGCCCAGGGTGAGAGAAGATGTCTGGTCCAGCCCAGCCAGCTGGAAAAAGCCCATCTAGCCATGACAGGAGAGGTCTAATCCAGGGCTGAGGCAAGAGGCAGACCCACCAGGCTGCCTGCACCGTCCGTGGCCAGGACAGTGATGCCCCTGCCCAACCCTGGATATGACCCAGCCCTGAACTCACATCTCTGTCTGCAGTGCCCTGAACTCGCTCTGCTCCAGTTCTTGGATGCGGGAGCTCAGCATGGCAAGGTTGGAGACCACAGATCTCAGCTCCTTCACGCTCTCCAGCAGAGCATCCTCGGGATCTGCAGGCGAGAAAGAGCCTCCTGAGCAGCGCAGAGGGAACATCAGCCCCAGGGCACACAAAGGAAGGCGTGTGCCTGCTCATCCTGCTGCACAGCAGCCCTGCAGCTTCAGAGCAGGGTCTCACACAGGGTGACACAGCCCCAGTACCTATTGGCTTTGGCACGGATGCAAGTTTGTCCTTGGCAACTGTACTGCTACTTCTGGTGGTCTCACTGGCATCTGCGAGAGGAGAGGACAGTGGCTGTGCCCAGCCCTACACATGCCCCAGCATGGGAGGGAGCAGTCCTCATCCTGGGACTTCCCAGAGCCCAAAGAGGGAGTGCCACCTCACCTTTCCCTGCCACGGCTTTCAGGACACTGCCCACAAAGGAGCTGCCAGCGTGGCTCGGGGTGCGGCACGCCGGGGTGCGGAAAGCCGGGGTGCGGAAGGCCGGGGTCCGGGCACGGCGTGGGGTCTGCCAGCCTGGGGTCCGGGGCCCTGGGGTCCAGGCTTTGCTTCTTGATGGAGCATCAACATCATCCTTCAGAGGGGAAGGAGAGTACAGCACCAGAGTGCAGCTTGTGACTGCCCCAGCAAGCACGGGGTCTCAAAGCCATGCCACAGAGAGCCACAGGTGTGTGACCCCCCCTGGGCCATCCTGTCATCCTTGTCCCCAGCACAGGTCCCCTACCTGCTCTTCCAGAGCAGCCTTGAGGCAGTCAGCCAGCTCCTGCAACCAAATCTTGCTCTCCATAATGTCCATGGAGCACCAAGAAACTTTGCTCCTCTGTGTCTGCAAGCTGAGGAGCTCAGCCTTGGTGCTGTCCAGCTCCTTGCTGAGGGCAGCCTGCTCTTCCCTGTGGGATGGCATCAGCCTCAGCAGGAGCAGTATTTCCCTTCCTTGATGTGGGATGGGGACATGCCTGCCTCTCACCATGAACCAGCAATGGTGCAAATCCACAGATTTAGGCAGCTTCCCTCAAGATGGGGAAACAT